ATAAAGTAATATGTTTTCTTAATGATTTAGGGAAAGGCTTGAAATGTGGAGGGCTGAAAAGAGGTATTGTCTTTTTTCAAGTAACTTGATTGTCATATTTTAATCATGTTGTTATGTGTTTCAGTAGGTCTGTTAGCTGATGTTTTGCAGAGGCTGCTTCGTTTCTTTGCCACAACCCTGATTTCAAACAGATCTGTTCTGTCCATTAAGATTTGTGGCCAAGAAAAATAGAGTTTTACAGTGTAGGGTTTATCAAACGAATGTAATATTGCATTTCCCCTTCATCTTGTTAAGTCTTAGTTTTAATTTTTAAGTGTTTGTTATAATGTTCTTGAAAACTTGTGGCATACGCATGTATACATGTCTTCTTTTATTATCTTTAGGAGAGGCAACCCAGAAAGGCCTGCGATAAAATCTAAAGCAGCGATGAAAAAACTGAACAGAAAGCCAGCTGAGATGAAAGAAAACATACAGCATTACCACAAACTGTAAGTTACTTTTATTTTTGAACTGTATGGTGCACCACTATCATGTGACACCTTGAGAACGCCCCAACCCAACCCAACAATAAGAATTTGATTGTGTTGAATTGTACTTGACAAATGGCAGAAACTAATGGGAAAAAATTGAAAAAAAAACTGTCTTCAAAATGAAAGACATCGAAGTTTTGAAAAAACTTAATTCTCGGAGACAGTTCTTTAGTTGCTTTTTGATAATCTAGCTGTTTAGTACTTACCATATGTAAGTTGAAACACCTAAAAATTTGGAATGAGAACTGAATAACTCTTCTTTTTAATCTGCAGGGGGAACAATGATTTATATCACACACCAGCTGGTGNTTACAGGAAAACACCAAAGTACAATACTCCAAGTGTAATGAAACATTCCAGTTGGATCCAGAGACCAATCCGACCTGAGGAAATAAAGAGGCTGTCGTTTGATTGTTGTGCTGAAGCTGACGGAACATTGGCTGAAAGTGTAACTTGTGCTATCTCACCCGGGGAAGGAGAAAATATTGAAGACAAACTTCAAGAATGTCTACTACAGTTGGACAAAGTAAGCACTATTTACTGATATCCCATGAATCAAAACTGACGTTTTTCGTTCTGGATTTATGGGCCGGATTTGTTCGAGACTGCCAAGACAACGTGAAATAAGCTGAATTTTCCTGACTTGTACTAATTAAAACAAAATATAGAGGGCAAAAGTATTTTATGCTGATAAAGGAATCTGAACAAGGCTTGGCAAGATATTCCTTACTAACCACGTCATTAATTGCACCTATTTTGATCGCTGCTGTGGGCAGATATCCTCTAATCCTATTTAAAATATGTTCCTATCATGTGTGTTCTGGAGACCTCGTGTACCTTATCGTACTTTTTCGCAGGCTCCTGCGGCGTATCAGCCGAGGCGAGTTCGCACGGCTATGGTTTGTATTTTGGCGAGACGCAGTCAAGCCAGAATACAAATGCAACCTTGACACACTGCCGAAACGTAAAATAAGGCCATAATACATCAGTGACTTGAAACAAGCCCAAGTTAGCTGATTGTGATTCTTTGCTGCAGTCGAACTTCCACCACACAACAACTGCGCCACCCTGCGTCGATCCTGACATTTTGCTTTGACTGAAGCCTCTGCAGAGTCCCAGCTCGTTCGAATAACTACAGTAGTAAATCATTCTAACGTTCACTAAAATCGACAAAATCCCACCCATCAATCCGTCAAACTCTTCCCAGCATGTGGACCCCGACAATCCGTGCGCACAATCGGGAAGATATTTTCCACGTGCGCGTGCTAAAACAATGATTTTCATATGTTGCAGCACGCCTTTGTACTTCGTGCGCGCACTTTCCGTGCGTGCGTACGCCCACAGTTTTTTGTATGGCGTGGCTTGATCTTTCCACCTACTGAAGAAGGGCCAAGCCCGAAACGTTTAGTTCACAAGCAACTATTTGACACTTTTAAAAGCCCGCTTTTGAGCCTCGTATTAAATTTATTGCATAGTGTCACGCATCTTCTGAGTTTTTTGCTCATTCCTACTGAGATATTTTCCAGTCTACCTTGGTAGGCGATCATGAAATATATATATAGCGCGGCATAGGACATGAGTGTGATAACCGGTGAGTCAGCATTTTGGTAAGGCGAAACAAAAACGATGCGTCCTTACGGTCCATTGTGTAAAAAGAGCAGTTGAAGGAAATTATACCGAGGAAAAATTTGGATCGCCGTCCATCGTCCGATGATCGACTGATATTTATAGTAAAATAGCGTCATTTTATAATACTCCGACTTTGTCTTATAGTAGTCAGATCCAGTTGTTTGGGCCAGTAGAAACATGCATGTTAATTGTTGGTTGTTTTGTTTGTTTTCAGGGCGATTGTGATCCAGAGATAATCGCCGCCAAACTTGACTTGTACAGTTCGTCTTGCCCACACGCCTCTCAGATAGCAAACTATTGGCTGTGTCGTGCCAGGATTGCTCAACAAGTAAAAGACTTTGATCGGGTGGTGTGCCTGCTGGAGCAAGCCTTTGTCTTTAAAGCGCAGGTAATTCATTTATTTGGTCATCCCATAGACTCTTGTTACTCTTCCGCGGTTTTCGACGCCATCTTATTTGAGGGAAAGTGGGCTGATTTCCTATGAATGCCTTCGTATGCTTCCTTATACACTTTCTATAAAAGGAGTAAGCTTTGTCGGAAAAAATAAATCCTTCCAATAGTCTTGACTTTCTTTTGTCTTGAAAAAATTAACAGTAACTACACGTAGCTCCCTTCGTAGCCGCCATTTGGTCTATGAAGACATAGACCTGCTGCATAGGAAACTAATATTGTACCTTAAATATTTTTAAATGGATTTTGTGTGTTCTTTTAGCCAGAGTCTATGTTAAGAGATGCCGTGCGCGCTTTTGTGAATTTCATGAAGGAAAATTGTCAGCAAGGTATGTTTCAACATGTATACTAAATGAAATATTGCGGTGACAGAAAAATACCAAGGAGATGATGCGCCCATACATAGAGCAGTTCAAAGAGTGGTTTTTGTCCACAGTTTTGTTAATGGAAAGTAACTTGATCCTCAGATGCAGCGGTTACCGATGACATGTATCAGTTTCCAGTGTCACCTCCAAGAGAAACCAACATCGATATGAACGATGACAGTTGGTTAGAGGACCTCAGCTCTTCAGTTATCAAGTTCTGCCTGACCGAAGCTACACCTTACAGAAAAAAGTAAGTACAGTGGAGACCCGCCTTACGGTCACCTCGTTAACACGGTGACCTCGTTATTACGGTCACCTCGTCAATACGGTCACCTCGTCAAAACGGTCACCTCGTTAATACGGTTACCTCGTTATTACGGTCACCTCGTTATTACGGTCACCTCGTTAATACAGTCACCTCGTCAATGCGGTCTCCTCGTCAATACGGTCACCTCGTTATTACGGTCACCTCGTCAATACGGTCACCTCGTCAAAACGGTCACCTCGTTAATACGGTCACCTCGTTATTACGGTCACCTCGTTAATACGGTCACCACCTCACGCCCATACATTTTCTTATAAGAAAACCCCATTAATGCGGCCACCCCGTTCATACGACCAACGGCTACATTCTGAAACCCCAACCCGTATAATCCTTTATAATTACACCCCGTTTATTCGGCCGCTCAAACCAGTTATGTTCATCTTTCCACTGTTAATATTGTATGTATTGATTGAAGTTTCAATTTTTAACTGCATTCCGGATGTTTATAATCAGTAACAGTTGTTAAGAAGTACAATTGTGATATATCTGTTAGCTTCTGTTGAGACGTTACTCAATTTGGACCAGTCATGAAATGTGAGCCTACCCCGTTAATACGGCCACCTCGTTAAATACGGCCAAATATTATTGGCCCGTTGGTGAACGTACTAGCGGGGTTCCACTGTAGCTTAAATACGCATTCTCGCCTCTCTTCTCTATGTCGATTTCCTTTCAACAGTAGCAAAATAAATTATCGATCGATTGTATTTCGCAGGTTTAAGGCAACATTCGGCAAGCCCGTGTTGACTCCAGTACGCAGGTCTGTTCGTTTGGAGCATGCTAGTGCCCAGCATCCCTCGGTTGTCCAGGGACATGGTCTGACCGTGAGAACACTGGGAGAACTTCCTGAGGAAATTCANACCCCGTTCATACGACCAACGGCTACATTCTGAAACCCCAAACTGTATAGTCCTTTCCAATTACACTCCGTTTATGCGGCCGCTCAAACCAGTTATGTTCATTTTTCCACTGTTAATATCGTATGTATTGATTGAAGTTTCAATTTTTAACTGCATTCCGGAGTTTATAATAACAGTTGTTAAGAAGTACAATTGTGATATATCTGTTAGCTTCTGTTGAGACGTTACTCGATTTGGACCAGTCATAAAATGTGACCCTACCCCGTTAATACGGCCACCTCGTTAAATACGGCCAAATATTATTGGCCCGTTGGTGAACGTATTAGCGGGGTTCCACTGTAGCTTAAATACGCATTCTCGCCTCTCTTCTCTATGTCGATTTCCTTTCAACAGTAGCAATATAAATTATCGATCGATTGTATTTTGCAGGTTTAAGGCAACATTCGGCAAGCCCGTGTTGACTCCAGTGCGCAGGTCTGTTCGTTTGGAGCATGCTAGTGCCCAGCATCCCTCGATTGTCCAGGAACATGGTCTGACCGTGAGAACACTGGGAGAACTTCCTGAGGAAATTCAGCAGGACGTGTTGTTCAAGCCT